GTGATTCAGAGACTTAGCCGCTCGCATTTTCAACCAGATACTCAATAACTGCATCAACCAATCACTGGCTTAGCTCTACACTGAAGACTAGAAGGTCAGGAAGGATTAGCAACAAGGAACGGGATCAATGAACCAGCCAAGCGCCTATCACCCAATGAAAATGCAGAAAAAAATGGAGATGGATAGGACCCTTCTCTAAGGAGACTGTTGAGTGACATCACGCACCAGTCATGCACTCAATTGAAACCTCAATGACTGGCTGGTTTCAACAAAGAACTTTGCGCAGATGTGCAGCGGTTCAATTTGCCACACCCTCTCCTTTTAGCTCAAAAAGTAAGAGAAGAGAGACTCAGAAGACAGATAACAAACAGAAGTGTGAGGCAAAAAGCATAGTATTATGGAAGAACAGTAGTCTTATTGGGTATAATAAATCACAGGGAGTGAATGAGTCTGTGTCACTCAAAACGTCTTCAGCCAAACCACCAATTGTCGCAAGTTGTCATTGATTCTTACTATCCCGAGCATCCCAACCAGTCAGGAAGTCTACAGCTTCCGATGTGACTGGCTGGCTTAAAATAACTGTTGTGGATTTCATTGACTAATGAGGCCATGTTTTCGTTTGACCACCACTAGCTCTTTTCCAAACTGATCCTAGTTCATCGAACATTCCCCGTCGAGGAAGGCAACAGCTAAGCATGCACCACACTTTATATCCTAGCCACCTCAGTCGATGTAACTACTTCACAACCTCGTTGATTGATTCCCCCTCCCACCTACCTAAGACTCGACTGAAGCCTGATCTCAATATTACTCACCACATTGTACCACTTCACACGAGAGACGGAACGCAGGCACCTATGATCAAAGACAGCTAGCGAGGTTTTTCATGTCTTCCACTCTCAATGGCCAGGTCTCACTCACAGCCCTGAAGCAGGATATAGTGAACTGCTGGACAGTAAATACGCCCTTTGATCACGTCTACTCCAGAGATGGCGTAAACTGGCATATTTTAAACGAGTCTTCTGTATCGATGTTGAGATTTCGTCAGCGATCAAACCGATGGAGTTGGCTGATGCAACTTCCCATATAAGTAAAGTGGTCAACACGTTCCACATACAACTTCACTCCCTATTTTTAAGCTAGGAATCAATGTATTCCAGTCGAGTCCTGTAGCATCATCTCACACATTTGACAGCACGAGCGAATCGCATGTCAAACATTCGAAAATTGCTGCTCCTCAAGGTGTTCACAAGACTCTGCATTATGTCAGCGTCTTCACCTAATAAAAGACGATATCGTCTGCACATTCTAGGTCAACGGGATTATTTCCTGATGATAACAAGTCAATCCCTGAGTCGCTGAAGTCAGTTGTGGTTAAGTCTATTAGTACATATGTGATGAAATTAAAAAACATAAATTGGAATCACAACATGAAACGGCGAGTTGGGGAACCAAGAGTGATATGAAAGAGATCATGCGAAGTGAAGGGGATGAAATCTTATAAGCAATCATGAGACCAGATACATACACATATACACTTAGAAGGCTTTGAAAGCAAATTCTGTCTCACATGTCTTATATCGCCATGGCAAGATATTATGAGCGAAACTCCTATAAAATGTACTCAATAATGACTAAAATAAGATTTTTGATTTGTTTTCCTATCAACTGAGCCCGGATGGCTCACTGGGCTCTGACTGCAGCATTGTGTGACATGGGTTCGTTCGAATTTCAGAAGGGACATGAGTTCCTTCAAGGTTGCAGGCACACCTGCCTTGCTGACGAGTGACAACTAGTACGAAACCTAGGTCCAGGGCTTCCTGCCGATTGCCTCCAACCATCTAACATTCACACACAGAGAAAAAGCCCTAATTGATAATTGCCTCCAGAAGAAAAGAATATCATAATCTATTTTCAGTTTCTTGTACCATTGTAATACTACTAATAATAAGGGGGATGGGGGGGAACTTTGTCCCTCTAAGCTTTTAACGATCACGTTTCATATCACACGATCTATTCATACATTTAATTATTAATCCCAAACGCATGTTATCACCTTCACACCATATTTCTTGAATAACTATCTCCTTCTCATACACACCCTATTTCTGAGGGGAAAAATGTTGAAATCCCTTTGTTTTTGATCATAGATAGCATGACATCAAGGTAATCCTGTATTCTCACATTCAACAACCATAATAACAATTATTCAGATTAATAGGAGTGATAAATAAACAAAATTCGTTTGCCAGTCGCCTTCACCACCCCTGAAATCATCAATAAGGGGATTCATAGACTCACTCATTCTGTCCCTCACATATCAAAAAGGCAAACGCATCATAAGATATACTTTTGAAGTGTTTTAGAAGTTGACTACTCATAAGTAGTTAACACTGGATGGGGAAAATAAAAGACCAAGATAAAAACGATTAGTTTCAAACTGGATCAACCAAAAAATGATTCACCAGTTAGAGAACTGATGACAGCCACTGAGTGCACTAGACTACTGTTTAGCTCAGTGAGTTTCACTAAATCATTGGGTTAGCACAGGATTTATATGTATCGCAAATAGGCAGACGCTAGTGGATTCCATTCCAGAGTAGTTGAATGGTCGCCAAGGTCGTCTCGTAACCTTAAGGTTTTAGGATCGGCCCCTAATACTGCAGTCATGGTCGAGTGCGGATCAAGAGTTTTAAACTAAAATGAAACTGCTTTTCAGTGAAGCCTGCTAATTTTCAACAGTACTCTCTAACTGAGCGGAGCACTACCTGCAGCGAACTGATAACAACCTGGTTAGTGTAGCTAGTCGTCGTAAAACAGAGAGTATACAACGTCAGAGTAGTAGCAGTAACTCGTTGATTTACTAGTTCAGGACGCAGTTTTTTTTCATTTCATACATTCACTGAAGGCTATTTCAGAAAGTTACACTATCGATAATAAATGAGTAATTCTGTCTAGCGAATAGGCAGTCAGAGAGTGACAACGCATGTGAGATCAGATCTAACTTCTTCAGAATAAAATAACTACTACACTACGCACTATAATATTATTATTAGTGGGAGTTTTGGCAGCATAATTAGGATCACATGAGACACTTTCTGTAAAAGAAAAGATTTTTGATTTCAAAATACACCACCACCAACTGACACATTAGTTAGAGAACCCTAGAAAACTGCGGAGTAGTACTGCAGAGCTGTTTCATCCTCCTACTTAGGAAATCTTCAGTAGTATGCATTCAAAGCCCCACCACTAAAGATCGGATGCAGAATCTTCAGGCTACGATTGTCTGCAAACGATGGGTGGAACAGCTATGCGGTAGTACTTCCACTTTTTCAAGTAGTTCCCTGACTGATGTCCATTCTTGAACAAAGCATAAAAAGCATATTGTGATAAGCAGGGTGATGTGAAGTCACTCGTTTCGTCGGATCTTAACCACTTCACACACACACACACAACTTAAAACAGTCACAATATCAATATTAGTGTTCCCATACTTTAATTAAATATCTAGAAGATGTCAACCACTGCTATTACATCAATAAACGTACGACGTGAAAGGAAAGCACTACAGGTATCAGTAGACTACTGGCTTTTAGAAGATGTAACTGCCTATTTAAATCGTCATATTACAGTATCCCATACTACTAATAGTCAGCAATAGATAGTTACCAAAAAAAGAAAATAAAAACCCAACTCACTGTCTTATATAAGCTCAAAAAATCGAATCATTACTGTGATGAATATTCAATGTTTGGAAGTAAAGGTGACAATGATACATTTCTACTCAAATCCATACACTTCCATCCATCTCTGTAGTTTTATAACTTTTTATGTAGTCGCTATAATCAATACTAAGTTTCAACCAACGGGCACTTATTTGGTACGTCGTGTTCGAAGGTTCGAAATCAATTACTCCGAACAGATCTATCATGTACTAGGAGGGTAAGGGGGACACGTAGTGTGCGTGTGTTTAAGGACTGAAGAGTATGAGCCTTGTGTACCTACACAGAAGTGTGGGAGGTTATCACTTCCCAACTAAAAATATTGTGAAAATCGACCTTTTCCTGAAACACCTAAAACAGAATGAGCATTAATGTTGCATGACCTCAGAACATACCCCCCACCACCGTCCACAGAGAATAACGGCCTGTTTGAAGTGGTTTTTAGGGCTTGTCTTTAACAAGACCTTACTGCCGGCTATAGACGGTCGTAAAGTAATTTTGGATGTACAACTTTCGAGGTCAACTTTTGACAGTCTACTCTTCCCCACTCCCAAAGAGTAGAGACTCTACAGCTGGCTTGCTAGTCGTCCGAAGGAAACACTTTACTGTTGTTAAACCTCTCTATTCCCCAGCAACATGACTTCGCCCTTACAATCTCAACACCACGTGGCGAATTACGCCACATGACAGCAGCCGCTTCTAATCTAACTGCTAACCAATAAATTACCTTCCTGGTTTGGTAATACCTGAAGGAACCTTGGTTCCAACCAGTGTAAATCTTGTATCAAGGTGATGGCAGTCAGTCGGGGAGGGGCTCGAACCTGCCACCCCTATTGAGGGAGGGAAACCAAAAGTAATTAAGAAGACAGTGAGACATACCTTCAAGATTAATAGAAATAATAAAAAATTTTATAAACAAACAAGAGGAGCAAAATGGCAAGCACAGCAACGAAAACAACAACAACAGCAAACAACCTACACAAGGGTCATCATAACTAACGAATTAGCAGGAAAACCAAAATAAAATAAATAAAGATATATTTCTTCTATGTTTTTATATCAACAACGCACATAACAAAATTACTTCTCTAAATATAAGGCGCAAGGATAAAGGAAGTTAATGATAGTGTGTGCGTTTGGGTGTGTGTCTACAATCTAAAGAAGTTTGCTGATGCTGATGATGACGGTGATGTTAGCGATGATGATGATGAATGCGACAAAAATAATCAGGAGTATAGTGTGCACAGAGTTCCATGACAGAGAAAGATGGACACACTTCTACTCAGATTTCTTCTGATAATCTTTAATTGCAGCTTTGATAGCATCTTCAGCAAGCACTATAAAAATTAATAAGAAAAAAGAAACGGTAAAGCGCTATAGTGTGTGTGTGTGTTTGTGTGTGAAATCACATCACACAACATCAAAAAACAAACACAATCACGTTTGATGATAAGCATCACGTTGTTTAACCAATTCATCAAAGGTCTAGCTGATATCTCTAAAAAGTACAAGCAACAATTTTTCTTTTTTATGCGTACCATATGACTTCTTTAACGTATAACATATACATACACACACACGTAAACACGCACATGTGGATGGAAGCTTACACTTGAGGGTAAAATGCTAAACAATGAAGTGAACTTAATATGACGAAACATGTTATTACGATTACATGTCACGTGACATGCGGGTCATCGTTGATTGGTTTGAGTTTCGACATAGAACTTTGTACACAAGAGAACCAGTTCAAATTGCCATACTCCGTGTAGCAAACAAAGGTAGGGAAAACAGATGGGGGAAATCCAAACGAACTATAATGAGCAGTGAGGGAAGAATTAGTAAATGGAAAACACCACTAGTCGTTACCTGAAGTGGTGACAACTACAGTATTTAAATTCCAAGGGAAAATATACAAACAAACTGAGGGAGTTGAGATGGGATCGCCAATATTCCCGGTTGTAGCAGATATATTCATGGATAAGTGGGAAAACATAGCGATTGAAACGTTCACCCCCACCCCACATCGAAGTATGGTGGAGGTATGTAGATGACACATTCACTGGACTTAAAACACAACATACAGATAGATTTTTCGAACACATCAACTCGAAGGTAGAGGCAATTCAATTCACTTATGAATTGGAGAGTCAGGAAGGGGGCTTCCAATGTTAGATTGCAACGTAAAAAGAAAAGAAGATAGGAAGTTAAACACTAACGTTTACAGGAAACTCACACATTCAAACAGATATTTGGAATTCCGATCATCCCATCCTATGTCACCAAAAAAGGATCAGTGAAACGTTTAAGTGACAGAGCACAAAAACTAATTAGTACCAAGGAAAATCTAAGACAGGAAGTGATACATATAAGAGAAGCCTAGAAACTTAATAATTATCTGGATAAATTAGTCAGGAAATATGTAAGGAAATGTAAAAATAAAATAAATAATGATAGTAACGATAGTGATAATAATAATAATATTAATGACGATACCAACAATAAAGAATCTAAATCATCAGTAGTGATTCCATAGAAGGAAGGAACCTCGGAAACCTTACGGAGAATTCTTAACAAGGCAGGAATAAAAGTGGCTGGCATTCAAACCAACAAACTCAATTGGAAACAAGCTTTGTCTGTTAAAGGATCCTGTTGAACGTGGAGCACTAAACAAAACGATTTAGTTTATCTAATGCTCTGCTGGAATGATTGTCAGATCAAATATATAGGTCAAACTAGTAGAACAGGAGCAATCAGACAAGCTGGAACATAAAGACCTAGCAAAATCTAGATTGGTTGACCCAAATAAGATAAGAAATCTAAAGAATAGTTCAGCTATACCACTCACTACATGCAGTTACACACGACTATACAATAGGATGGATGGGATAGGATGACAGTTTTCCTAAATCTAATGTCACAGGGTGTAGGGAGGGAGAGATTAATAACGGAAGCTTTGTTTATCGAATCAACTGCAAAATTCGTGTAATGGAAATGATTCAACACCTCTCCATCCAGATATGTGGAAAATTCTACTACTCCAACGACGACAAATAGGGGTGGGGACAAAGAGGACTATACAACTCAAGTTACAAAGTCGTGTGATTACAGATGATATGATTATGAACAATAAATTTTGTTCGAAACATCATTCATTAAATAATACTGTTTCACTGTGTGATATATCTAATAAACAAACTAATATGGAACCATTTTTCGCCATCTCTGGCGTAGACGTGATATCCGGCTTGCTGTCGACCAAAGGGCGGATGTACTGCTCAGCAGTTCGCTCCATCCTCCTTTATGGTTGCGAGACCTGGCCCTTGAGAGAGGAAGACGTGAAAAACCTGGCTAGCTGTCTTTCGTCATAGGCGCCTGCGTTCTAGCTCCCGTGTGAAGTGGTATAATAAGGTGAGCAATATTAAGGTTAGACATCGATCGAGTGCTAGGCAAGGAGGGGAAATCAATCGACGAGGCTGTGAAATTACATCGACTGAGAGAGATGGTTAGGACATGTGTTACGTATGCCTACTCAGCGCCTTTCTCGACGGGCAATGTCAGCTGGCATAGGATTGGTTAAGCTGGAAAAGAGCTAGCGGCGGTCAAACCGAAACATGGCCTCATCAGTCAATGAAATCTACTACAGTTAGTTTAAGCCAGCCAGCCACGTAGGAAGGTGTACACTTCCTGGTTGGGATCCTCGGGACGGTAAAAACCAATGACGGCTGGAAACAATTAGTGACATAGCTGGCTGGTGCAGATGTATCCACTCCTCGTGAGTTATGATTTCCAATGAAACCATTCCCCCCCCCTTATGATGTTGATGGTCTTAATCAGTCTTTTATACGCTCTCCTTCTACTATAACTACTTCTAACGTTACTAATCACGTTCTTCGTTATTACTATTCCTTTGTCTCACACCTCCGTTTACTGTCTCTATTATGCATTTCTCCTACTTTCTTCTTTTGCTTTGTGTGCTACAAGGAGTGGAGTGTGGCGACTTGAACTGGTGCACATCGGTGCAATGTTCTATGTCGAAAACAGACAGACAGAAGCAACAAGCAGCCAGTAACTTATTGCACAACAAACAAGCAGAAGGAAATGAAGGTGTGAAGGCCTTCAAGTGAAATTACACTTTACGCAGGCTCTCAGCTGTAACCGGAATGAGAAATGACAGGTAGAATTTCAATCTGAGGGTGACATGGAGGCAACTGTGTCAAGAGAAAATGAAAGTTTGTGGACTATCGTGTAGGCAACTGAAAAAACTGCAGATGACAGAATGAAATGGAGAAGTGCTGCTGAAGTGGTATGTTCCACTCGAAACTCACAGGACGAACAGTAATAAAGATAATACTAATATGTTGCATCATTAGCCCACACAGACACGCACACACACAAGCACAATAAATGTGGTTCATTGCAATTTGCATGGAAATGTAAGTGTCTGTTTAGTAACAGTTGTTGGGTCAAAACCAAAGACAACGACCAATCACACTAACAACTACACACTATGAAACACAACAGTTAAGTTGGTTGGTGATAAAGATGTATCAACTGATAGACAAACTTATACAAAAACGCACACAAATTATTTTCCTTGATACACTTGAACAGAAACAAAACATCTTCAGCAGGACGAAATGAGATGTCACTATATTTCGTTGACTCTTGTCATATCCATCAACTTTATGAGCAATAACTAAAGCATTTGAATATTTTGTATACTAACTGATAATAAATTATTCATGTCTTTATACAACGCACACGAACCAATGAGATGCAATGACGTCATTTTATTCTGCTCAGTGTGTTCTTGTTGCTTTGTTCATGTTTAGACAAGGTTGATTATGAAATGAAACATCGGTCGGAGAAGCAGTGAAACCAATGAAGTGTTGAACAGCGGGCTCATCCTCCATCTTTGCAACTCTTAGAAAATGCGCTCTCACGACCACACTCTCCAAGGGATGGAAATAGCGACGTTCGGGTTACAAGATGAGGTTGTTGATCATTCAGCTATCGGGATGGAATCAAACAGCCAATATGTAAACATATATATACATATATATTATTGTTCCCTTGGGTTCCTAGTGGAACATAGGGCTTCAACTCCACGTCTCCGCTTGCTTCTGTCTTCTGCTGTACCTTTTACCTGGATCCATGTTAGTCCATACTGTTTCAACTCCTCTTCACACGATCTCCTCCATGTCACCCTTGCACTGACGTCTTACTCGCCGCTTCCCTTTCGGCCTAGTTCCACTCGAATGGTGACCTGACGCGCGATGTCATTCATCAGCCTCCACAGTGAGTGTCCAATCCATCTCCACTTTCGCCTGCATATTTGTTGGGAGATTGGTTCTTGTTTTGTTGGTTAACATGATTTCTTGCTGGTGATTCTTTCCGTACCGGCCATCTGATCTTCAGCATAGAGCCAGCGAAGACAGTTGGTTTTTGATAAAGGTAACGTCTGCAACAGGCTGTTGGAAATATTCTTTGTAACCCACCCGCCAAGTTTCTGATCCGTATAGAAGAACTGACTGACTTGACGTTTGTGTTGAAAATCCGAATTTTGTTGGTGATGGTGAGTGACGAGGATTTTCAGATTGGTGTTAGGTTGATGAATGTGTTTCTCGCCCCCCTCCCCGATTCTCGCTCGATTTGACATCCTCGTCCGTTCCGACTGGCTGTAGTTGAGACAATGCTCCCTAGATAAGTGAGTGAATGAAGTAACCTCTTACAAATCCCTGCCATTATATATATATATATATATATATGTATATATGAGATGAATCTTGCTCAATGTAGTAAACACTTACAACAAGCAAAAAAACAATTCAAATAGGATAAACTTACTAGAACAGTGCAATTTGACTGGTGGTAGCTTTAATTCTTTAGCTATATCACTATTTTTGATTTGTTCAGCCTCTTCAATTGTTTTGCCTTTTATCCATTCTGTTGCTAATGAACTAGATGCAATGGCCGAACCACAACCAAATGTTTTAAATTTTGCATCTACAATTTTTCCATTTTCATCAACCTAAATTTTAGAAAGAACAGTTATATATATATATATATATATATAAAAATGTATAAATGAAGATATCGTTGACTGGCTTAAGCAGCCAACTTTCCGATAATAAATGTCTGAGTTCAAATATTGCTCTAGTTAGTTCGGCCGTCTGAGTAACTATCTGGTTGGTAGTGTCATAAGACCTTACTAACACAATAAGTATATGACTCGTGGGAGTCCCCTTGGTATCAGGTGAGTGAGTCCTCAAGGCTCACTTTCCAGGCGATGAGCGACAGCTCACGGTACTACCCAGTTACTCAGGTTGAAGCAGATGAAGATGTATTGGACTACAAGATCCCCCGGGTAAAAGTCAGGGACTTGAACCAATGCGTCACACATCTCCACAACGGCTGAAGTGAATTCTAATCAACCAACTTTCTCAAATTAATTGCATTCTTAGACGAATCAAAAAGAGGAAAACAAGGGAGACATAACGGTTGATAGAGACATTAATTAAAAGTCAATGTGTGTCAACAGCTGCAAAGAAACCCTTATTTTAAAAAATTGGTATTTCCTTGACGATAACATCAATAAAATACTAACACAACGCTTAAAGAATGCATTTAAAAGAGTATTCACTATCTCAGAAGTTCATTATTTCTTCATAACCACTCCAATTTTACTCTCAGGAATTAAGGATAGACTATTTAACTTTACCTTCTCTGTGTACTTACCAGTTTCACTGATCCTTTCGCAGCCCTTTACACTGGGTGTACAATTAGGCATATTAATCATCGGACTTCTATATATCATCCTAGCTAGTCGTTAAGTAAGGAACAAACAGTGTACATTGGGATCTGTGTTTTACCCCCCTTCGTAGATACTGAATAAAGTCTACATTAACAAGAAATATAAATTCATTTACTGTTTTCTGATTAATCTCAATTTATCCTTACACCTTTGTCTTCTACACACATATACAACTGAAGCCGTTGACATCCACCTGAAGTAACCTAACTTATGTGCCCAGAAATAGATAGTTCAGACGCTTTCCTCATTTTGGCCATCACCATTACTTGAACGTAAAGATCTGATAATTTCCCCATGCTACTAAACTTTTTACAAGTTATAGTTGTTATTTTTCGAACTATCTTAAATTGTGCCGTAAATTTTCTTTTTAATGATTGTTCAGTATTATATTTTCCGGCATACAATTACATTATTATTATTTCCTTTAATTCCTAGAGGAACATAGGGCTTCAGCCGCGCGTCTCCATTGCGTTCGGTTCTCTGCCAACGTTTTAACCTGGTTCCAAGTCTGCCCACATGCTTTCATCTCCTCCAAGTCACCCTTGCACTGACGACCAACTCGCCGCTTTCCGTTAGGGTTCCACTCGAGTGACGGTCTGGCGTGTGATGTCACTTGACAGTTTTCACAGAGTATGGTCTATCCATTTCCATTTCTTCCTGCCTATTTGTTGCACAATCGGTTCCTGCTGTGTTAGTTTGCTCCCAGAGATCCCTGTTGTTGATCTTCTCTGGTCGGCCATCTGATCTTGAGTACTGAGCGAAGACAGCTGTTAATGAAGGTAGGCAGTTTGTTTGAGGTGACGCGCCAAGTCTCTGACCCGTACAGTATCACCGATTTCACATTGGAGTTAAAAATCCAGATCTTTTTATATTCATGCTGAGTAGTGCTGTTGATCTCCACACAGACTTGAGAGTAATGAAAGCTTGTCTTGCTTTCCCGATGATCCTTGCTTTGATATCCTTGTCAATACCCCCTGTAGTTGAAACGATGCTTCCCAGGTAGGTAAAGGTGGTTGTTTCTTTCAGGTTCCTCCCATTTATGCTGGCTGATTAATGTCTGCTTTTGTTGCTGTTGGTGTTGGCCAGGAATCTTCATCACCGCTGTTTTCTCTATATTCACCTGAAGTCCTATCTTTGATGCTTCTTCTGCCAACTTGTTGCTCCGGCATATAATATATATATATATATATATATATATATATATGAAGCTATAGAGCCAGATGGGGAAGTATTCGAAAAGAATATTTTTCCTTCAACTCTATTTATTTCCAGGAGAGTTGGAAATCACCTCAAAATATATGAAGTGTAAGTAATGTCAACATCTGTTGAAACACGAAGTTATAAATAAATAACAAAACTAAACAGGATAAACAGAATGAGGAATAACCAAGATATTTAAATAAATACAATGTATGCATTGCTTTTCATTGCTAAAAAATAATTCTGATCTATAATATATATGTCTTACAAAACTGACATTCATTACCCTGTCGACTTTTATTTCTAGAAAGCTTATTACGCAAAACCCAGCTCTGATTAGTTACTGGTTACCTGGTATTTTTAGAAGTCGGACTGTCATTAGTCATAAAAATAAAGCCGAAAAATTTTGACAGCAGGGGGCCTTTTATGTGGCTGATAATGTCTGCTAGCAGCGAAATTCAAGATGCACATCTTGTCCCATTTGGGAATGTTTGGCGTGGATAACTCCTTTTCATTTGAATCCATGGGTCCAGAATTCGAGTCTCAGTGGAAATACCACCACTCACTGAAAACTACAGGTACATTTCGTTGATGAATCTCATATATACGACAAGATGTACATCCTAGATTCCACCAATGGACATCATCCACCACCGAATAACATGCTATTAATCCCCAGATATCGCTGAAGCGTCAGTACTAGAAGCCGACAAGTCAAAAGAGACCCAACAGTTAGATCAAATATAGTCAACCAACAGGAAATACGAACTAACCTAAATAAGTGAGAAGACATTAATAAACTGGTGGTACATATTTCATATGAAGGATAATTACATCTAAGAATACCACAAATAAATAAATTAAAAATTAAACGATGTAAATAAAATCCTCAACTTTACAGACTTTGAGACCTTCGACAGCGCTGACCGCGAAGCAATTTGGAAACTATTCGAGTACTACGGCGTACCCAAATATTCATCAACCTTGCTCAACAGCTGTACGTGAATGGCGGCACATGTCAAGTGACCCCCAACGGAAAACTCAGCGAGGCGTTTGGAGTAAACACAGGAGTCAGACAAGGGTGCTTATTATCTATTACCAATGATATTCCTAATTGTGGTCGACTGGATTATGCGTCAGATAGTGTGAAACGAGCAGATAGGGATATCTTGGACCGACGTGAATAAATGAATAAATGAAAAAGACAACAGAGAATAAACCGACCCAAGGTAACTTAACCAGGGTTGTGTCAAATGATTCGCCCCCCTAAGCTGAGTCGAACAGGGTATACCACTGATGTGTCTAGACACAAAGAAGAGAAACAGCCGTCCTGTACTTGAATCACTTATATAGCCTGGCTAGAAAGCACTACTTTTTGACCTGAGAGGTTTCTAACTACTCACACTAATTAATCAGTAGAATATGGTACCAAAAAATAACGTCAATTGATGAACCAGCATACAGTGTTTACAAGCAACCGTAACAATACGATGAACACAAATCTGTTCATGAAAACAATCAAACTACCGGTGAAATATATGTTACAAAAAATGTATGCCGAAGATTGTTCCACAAACTGACTTTGTTTTGTAGATGATGATAGGTGTTCTTCCTTCTTTTTCACAACTTGAGTTCCGTGTGGAACGCAGGACCTCAAGCCTTTCAAGTTTCATTCATGTTGGCGTAGCTTTTACGAGGTGAGCTTCACGCCTAATCTTCCCTTTTTCCCGGATTTACCAACAGCTCCCATACTGCGCAATGTTTAGCAGTGAGTCCACCGTGAAGTGATCCCGGACCACGTGCATAGTTGGCGAACATTCTGTGATCGAACCACTGAGGTACTTCGTAAATGTAATAAAAACAAAGCTAGGATAGAGAATGACACCTAACCAGCCAGCCAAACTTCGGATGGCTCGAATGAGAAACCTCACTAATTGTTTTTCACAGAAAAAATATCCAACACAAGGAACACTATTTTGTACCACTTATATCGCCTAGAAGAACTATGAGATTTCATTCTAAACCAGGAAATAAGTCAACATACAAAGGTTGTGAGGAATCGTGAAAAGCATCTTTTGGGCAGACCTTATGGCGTACACAAATATGAGGCAGTAAAAACTCAGTGGGAGTTCAGTTTACGCTTTTGAGTAAATGTACAGAACGCCTCACTAACTCGTGTATTATCCATACTTCATTGATAAAATTTTAACACGGAACTACAGGAGACTACTACTACTACTAACACCTTAGACCAGACAAAACAACTAGAAATCGAACGTAATGACTTAGATAAACATCAGTTCATCGACAAGTATTTTGTCAAGCCTATTTGAAAAAAAGACACCGTTTCTTACCTTTATTTGAAGCTTCATAACATCACCACAGGCCGGAGCACCAACCAGACCGGTGCCAACAGATTTATCCTTTTTATCAAGTGAACCTACATTACGAGGATTCTCATAATGATCAATAACATTTTTGTGATATGCTGCAACAGAAGGTCCAAAACAGTTGGCAACCCGTGTTTTGCAAATCCCAATACGAGATATCATTGTATAGGTAGAATTATTTGTCTTCTAGTGTAAATATAAGATGTGATAAGAGATCAAGGATGAAAGCTATGTATGAAGACACTAATAGAAATCAAAATACCACTCTTAATAAAGTTTAATGTTAGGGCATCCACAGTTATGTTTACTATTATACACATGCATCCTATAGATTGAACTGTTTTACCCATTTCAACGTAAAATTTTCTCAAAAATGTGCATCAGATCAAATTATCGCGCTTCATAAAGCACACAAACGTAAAAAGCATCCAAAATCGGTAGAATGGGTAGAACTGTGTGACAAAAAGAATAAATACCAGGAGAATTTGGTGGACATGGATCATCTACGTTACAGGGAATAACTTCTCCAGCCATTAGTCCTTCGCTTTCGATGAACCCAGCCAGACAGTTTACACCTTCCTATATGAATGGCTCAAACCCAACAATCAAACCTCATGAAATGGTATTACAATTTCATTCGACTACCGTTATTTTTCACTTAACCTAATTCTACATCGGCTCACGTCCCTCTATAAGGGAGGTGGTATATCGTAATGCATGTTTTCTAACCATTTATTTGCCGAAAGTCATGGTGTTTAGCCGACAGTACCTCCACAATATTTGTATAGATTAAACACTAGCTAGATATGAATAACACGTTGTCAAGAAATTTCCTTTTTATTTTGGCCCATACGTTCAAATGGGATAGCCTCTTACAGTACAAGTTAGTTGCCTAATAAATTAGATAGTTATTATGCACTAATAAACATAGTAGCAGATTTACTCATTTGCATTAGTTGATCAATGTGGCTGCCATACTATAACTCCGTAATTTCCGATCTACACAACGCTTGACAACCTATTTTCCTACGATACTGCTGCCCTTAATTCGCTTCAGTTCACGTCAATCCTTACAAAAACTTGTATATAAACTGAATCATCTTACTGTGAATAAGTGCAGATAGCCGAGTAAGAATATGATCTGAAAAGATCACAGGACCCCACCCCACCCCACCCCCACCAAATTTATTTCGGACCTAGTGTCATTGCATTAACAGACTATGGAATAAACGGTTTCGAGATATTTTCCATCGAACTACAACTTCTGATAGAGTTTAAACGGTAGTAATCGGTAAATAAATGAAATTAGATCGAATAACGCAACGACAGGCACATTAATAAGAACCATCGTGGTAACGCCTACCAGGTGCTGTTGCGATCAGTTTCCAAAACTGCGCTCCACATTTCTAACCTTAAACACTGTTGTGTTGTTAAAAAAACAGTGAATCCAAGGTTGTAAAACCAAAAGCACCGGTTCCTTAGCGATTTTTTCCTGTTGTGCTTGTTCACTTGTACAAAATTCCCAATTAACAGAATACGCATCTCAGTATGGGTGACAATGACTTTCACTGTTAAGTCAGTCTAAAGTAGACATCTCGTTAAGATCTTTTGTCTTAGCACATACTGCTGGTCTAAAATCATGATTTCAAGTTTCAGGACAAACATAATGGTCATATATAACTATCGACCACTCTGCCGCTTCAACAAGTGAGCAGAAACTGGTTTTTAGTTCCAGTTTTATTACACAAGGAGTGGTTTCTTCTCTCAGTCGTCACGTTCAAGAAGCTATAATAAAAGCACAGATATTCACTAGAAGAAAACTGACTCATGCTCCAAGCCATCTACCCTTAGACACGGATCTAGAATCTGAATCTGAAATCTTTCGTATCTAGTGTTTGTCATCAACTCCACCATGTGCAAATAACAAAAGTAAGCAGTGGCTGCCACAAAAAGTGGTTCACATGTTTAGAATAAATGCTCGCACCCACCATCAATCCATAAATTTGCCGATTGACTGTAATACATCTTCCGTTACTAAAATGCAACCAGAACCAAAAAGTTATCAATGAAGCACGTGAATGTTGGTTGAACAAACTGATAGTTCGTTCCAGGTAAATAAGTTACTTTATGTTTAGTTAAAAGGGCTGTGAGTCGCGTCAGGCTCACACATAATTTTCACGCTTTCTTTGACCCAGCTATCACATGCAAATTTAGAATCCCTTACTAACTCTCTACTCAGAAAATGAGTGGGGAAAGTTTTCCCTACATCATCTTAACTTCTTATCCGTCGAAATCTCTGTGGTTGTAAATTATCCACAAAATTACTAGCCCCTAGGCTTAATCATCATGGCTGTTTAATTATACTGGTTAGGTTGAGGTTACGCAGTCAAACAACTGCTACATTGTGGCACTCTGTCGTCTTGTGATGCTTGGTTGTTTATGCGAGTACCCTAGTCAGACAAGCAGCAACCACTGCCCTACATTTCTGTTCCAGAAATGCTTCGTGTTGTGTATGAACAGTGTGCTGTTCTGGTTTGGCTTCACGCTGGCTCATTGGTCATATCGAGCAATTACATTAAGTTTCGAAGAATCTATATACTTGTATTATCAATTGGCTGCCTATTGGATACCAATTGAAATCTTTCTTCTGCTAAGGGATGAAGACGTCATGGATGAACTTAGGGTTCAAAGACAAACTCCTGGTTGACACTTTGAAGGAGGGAATACGAAACTTTATTAGATGGACATTCTTTGCATCAACACTAAGACTGATATTCTCCTGTCATCGAATGTGTTTTAGTAACTAGACAGATAAACTTTCGCGTGATACACAGGTGCTGGAGCAGGACACAGTATGCAGAACTTACAATCACTATCATCTATAAATGTTTTGGAAATTTATCAAATCACACAATAAACTGAGTGTGGGTTTGGTGGCACATTCTGATCAGCGGATACGGTGGTGGTCACAAATGTGAATCGCTCTGAGGTGTAGGACGGCAATGTGCATTTTTTGATAGCTCGAAAATTAAACGTTAGTCTGGATGCCCAGCAAAATCAATAAGGGCCATACAAATCTAAATTATAAGACATGCTTTTACTCCTACCATCTTCCTGGTCTTCGAATTCACTTCTCACTGAAATATCACTTATCTACCTCACTATAATCTTTTTACTGAAGCATTGCTTTACTCTATTTTATCTTAACTACCTACGGCTAAAACTTAATAATAATATATTTTCCTATCTATTTGGACACACCAGTTTTACAGGCATGGATAAAGACTGTTTGAATCATATAAATTCGGTTTATGTTGAAATTACGTGGTTACTGTCTTTAGTTTGTGGGAACAATATGCTAACTAGTAATTCAATGGAGCTCATCAATAAATATAGAAATACTGTCCTCTCATTAAGAAAAAAACCACAAGTATGTATTGGATGGATTACAAAGACTTGGGAGAAAATAAATCTTGAAATAAATTCCCCCCAGAACATTAATGTGTACGTCATTGAACCTTATTCTTGATTTATATGCAAACTGGATATTGATTTTAAGTAAATGATGTCTCTGTACAATTTTGTCAGAATTTTCATCGCAAGTAACACCAGAAGTGAATTGTACTCAATTCCGACTAATATTGGTCACTGTTAGGCAGATTTGTTTACCTGCGCTGAGGTTAGATAAAACAACAACAACCATTTGCCGCTGCGTTGTTGTCCTGTACGAGTAAGTTGATTAACATGTAGAAAGTTATTTGTTAACCATTTTAGAGCATGGATACTGCTTGTATAGGATGTTATACGGAGTTCTGAAATGGTGACAGTGGCTTTTTTAAGGATGTTGAGTCAATACTAGCCCAAACCCGGGGGATGATAGAAAAGCAAGTGTATTCAAGTTCTGTTTATCTTGTCTTACTGTAGATCTGTCTAATTCCCACTATAATGCAAATGGAAGAGAAGAGGCGGGCAGCAATGTACCAGAGAGGATTGAAGAAGTATGTGAACACGGATAGGATCTTAATGTCTATATATATATACGTTTAAATTTGCCGTACACCGCCGTCTAGTAAAAATATATAACTATCTATGCTTTGTCTTTTATGCACCTATGCAACTAGTCTGTTTATCGTTTATAGAGTAATAAGGGAATTTATGCGCGTTTTTAGGTCCTGTAGTAAGCTAATAATTGATTAGTTCTAGAAATAAATAGTTTCTTAGTGTAATCAGGACAGTCAAGCAGTCTGCACAGAGTGTTCCAAACTTATAACCATAGTGGAAGTTCTGGCTTATGGGGGCAGGCCATTCCATGTTTTAGAATATACGAATGTGAAGAAGTTTTCGCGGAGTGTTGATTTAAATGCTTATATTGTCACTGTGTAAGTTTGGTTACGCAGATCGTAAGAGCCTTATTGTCTGAGAATGACATATTGTATAGGACCTTAAAGAATACTAGTTTTACAATAAGTCGTCTCGTCCAAAGTGGGCCAAGATTTGGAATCATACGCCGCGAGATGTAGTCTTTCTTACGATCGTAGCCAAATAGTTTGAACACTGGATACTTTCCATCCTCAGCTAGCCACATATACGGGTGCTGCTAATAATAAATGGACAGAATTGTAGTAGCGTCCTTACACATGTTTTGTAAAGAATGAGGCGGGTGCCATTGTCGTGAAGGTTCCTGGGTATGCATCCTCAACTTTAGGGCTTGTGATATCACTTACTCAGAAAATGTTAGGTCACTAGAGTACCTCAGGCCTAAGTCAAGGGCTATACTATCATTCCAAGTAGTCGCCACCTCCTTCGTGTATATATCTTGTAAATGTACTTCCAATGATATATTACCCATAGTTGTATTTTTTGACATTTTGCGGTTTCCCTGAATGCTCTCCTCTTCCTGAAATAGCTTTCGAACACGTGAGGGCATATCACTTACCTAAAAATACTCTGTTCACTGATTGGCTATTAGCATCAGTAGGCTGGGTAAGGATATATGCTATAATCTGTTGTATTTTCCACGCCTCAGATTTTCTCGTCTTTCATTGGCTAGAACCGTGGCGGCCAGTTGGATATTTGATTTGTCCTTGGTAGGTGCTATCGCGTGAGGTTTTGTGTGGTTGTGCTATGCGTCGTTTGCAAACGACTTTGACAAACATGGATGT